AAACAAATCAACCATGATTGAACACTCGATCAATCCCGACAACAAGCTAGGCATCATTCGGTGCATTTTAATTAAATCATGTCCACCCCTCAGGGCCACGAACATGAATCACAATCATAACAATGCCACCGAGTATATCTTACACACGAGTCAAAAAATCTCAAGTAATTCTCCAAAGCTAACATTATAGCAATTAATGACAAGTCAAACAAAAAATCAGAAATTGAACGAAATATTATTTGGAAACTCAAACTCAAACGATATCACAATTTGAGTACGTATAGCACGATATCAATAAAATACTCTTTATAAAGAGATTAAAAGAATGCATATCATGTATAAACCACTTACTCAATTCTTAACCGATTGATATAAAATAGACACACATCACATGGCATGCATTTGTATAAATTGACAAGTGTCCTACTTTATTCCTCGCGCTTTCTTTTATAGTTATCCATTTTTTTTTAACTTCTTATCTCTTCTATTTTGTTTTGCTATCTTATTTTATTCCATAGCTTTTAATTCATTCACGTTAAAGACCAGCCCATATTTTCATAGTTACACTTATCCTTTATTTCATATATATATTTTTTTTTTCCTTACTCGATATATTTTGATCACTATAAAATTTATAATAATCAAATATTTCACAATTAAATCCTAACTTATAACTTGACCCCAAATGAAATTCGTATAATTTCTAACAATATCAGATAACTCATAAAATTTTAATTATATAATCTAGCTCGAGTCGAGATTCGGTCATCACAGATTAACCCTAATGTATGTGTGTATATATACTCGATTTTTCTCCCAACCTAACTCAAACTTAACAAAATTTAATCCTAATCTCTTCTATTTTATTTCAACGATCAGAGAAGTATTCGGTTCAATTTATGTGCACCTTAATAAATTTTTTCTTGGTCCAATCAAAAATAAATCATTGACATTAAAACTAGAGTATTCAAAAGAAATAAATCTTATATTTGTTTAATTGGGTTTCATTTGTAATTGAAGTCCCACTGCGATGTGTCCTATTTCCTAAGACAAGGTCGAATTTTTTTAGATTTTTTAAAATTTATTGTGAATAAATTGAAATAAAATATATATAATGTTACTGGTAAAAATTTGAATTCTCAACGTATAATTCAAATAACTGTTAGAATTGATTTAATTTTCATCTACGTACTTTGATATAATAGTACAAAATTTTTTCTAAATTTTTTTTCGCTCAAAAACATCTTTTTTTTTTTGCATGACCTCCGATTGTAAGACAATCCAACTAATACATTTCACAGTACCAAATAATTTCACTAATTCACTGTTGACTCTTTCTTATCTTGGTTTACCTCTTTCTTAGTTTTTCTTTGTTAACTTAAAATTTAAATTATTTAATTAATTAAATAAATAAATTATATACGATTTGATGATATATGTTTCACTACAATGAGCAAATGTAAGAAATCAATGAGTATTGAGTTACTTAGTCTAAGCTCCTAGGTTCTTAGGTTTTGGATCAAGGAAAGGGGTTTATCAATTCAGGAGCTTAGCTAGTTCACTTTTAAGGGAATCTCTTCCTCCCAAGGGTTGTATTAATGAAGAAATGATACTACAAAGAGTGATTCTAATTACAATTGCTTATATTCATTATTGGGAGTGATGCCCCTTATTTATAGTCGATCCTGAGTCTTGCTTAACCTTTGATGAGATCTTTGTCCCTCTTTGTAACGGTTGCTATTATCTCGTGATGGTTATGGAGGGTATTGTGGCAGTCGCGGTTCTTCTGCCTAGATATGCGACCATTATTATCTAGGGTGGTGCTTGGGTGGAGTCTAGCCGTCTTCTACACTACCTTCCTTGAGATGTGGTTACAGGGATGAGAGATTTGACCTCGAGCTCCATGAGCATCCAAAACAATCTAGGCTCCCGATCTAAGAAAGCATGACCAGAATCACTGAGTTCATCCTTAAGCATTTTTAAGGTATCATCACTATCAATTCTCAATTTTTGATATTGTAAGGTGTCTTCAGACATGAAATTATTGTTAATATATTTATAAATTGATCGTAACTTATGCTTGAAAGCACGATGCAACATATAATCCGAAAGTCCAAAAAATCAATACCATTATAATCGATTAATAATTTTTATTTCCTTCCCTTTTTTTAACAAAATTTTCTCTAAATGCATGACCTAAAAAAACCAAAATGTGTATACCATCGTTTATGAAAAATGTCTGAAGTAAAAATTATTTGAGTCATAAATTAATAAAAAATTAAATAATTCAACTTGTAATAGAAATGAGTGATGTGATAGAAAGGATTGAAAAAATATATATGAGAATAAAATTCAAACTAAAAATATATACGAGAATAAGATTCAAACTTCTGACTCCCTTATTATATATATGATAATAAATATTGGCGTGGTACATAGTGGTACCCTAAAATTATTTTTAATAGTATTCTCTATTTTTGGAGAGCATTTTTTTTAAATAGAAATCATCGTTTATAAAATTTTAAAATAGACGGTGAATATTTTTGACAACTTCGACGGGCTCTCTAATATGCTTTTGGAGTGATTTTAGAGTGACATATATGGAGGGATTTTTGGAGTGATTTTAGACCTTTGCATCAATTTTCATAATTTAGTCCGAGTCATTATTTTGCTTTTATATATTTGAAATTCAAGTTTCTAGCTGACATATTTTTGAAGTGATTTTAGACTTTTGGATCAATTTTCTTGAATTAATATAAGTCATTGTGTACTTTTATAAGTTGAGAATTCAACTCTTATTTGTAATATTAGATAGGATAAATTTCAATAACTCCCTTGAATTTAATTCATATTTAACTAATACCCTCTCTGATTTATAAAATATCACTACATACTCCTGTCAATTTTTATCTGTTAACAGACTTAACAAAATATGTAATTTTATTAAATTATTTTTACTAGAACTCTCATTTTACTTAATTACCCTTACTCAAATTAATACAAAATTAATCTATAATTTTATCAAATTAACATCAAATTGAACTTTAATTTTGTTTGATTAATATTCAATTTTATTCAATTAATATTTAATTTTATCAAATTAATATTCAATTTCATCAAATAAGTTCAAATTAATATTAAATTTTGTCAAATTAACATTCACATTCATCAAATTAGCATTCAATTCATCTAATTAATATTCAATTTTATTAAACTAATACCAAATTAGTATTCAATTTTATAAAATTAACATTCAATTTTATCAAAATCACATTAAACTTCATCAAATTAGATCAAATTAACACCAAATTAACTATCAATTTTATCAAATTAACATTAAATTTCATCAAATTAACACAAGATTTTACCAAATTAACATGAAATTGATCTTAAATTTGACAAAATTATCATTTTGCTTCAGCAAAGTAATATTCAATCTCATCAAATTGATATTCAGTTTTATAAAATTAATATCAAATCAATATTCAATTCTATCAAATAAACCCCAAATTAACATTTAATTTCATCAATATAACATTCAGTTTATCATACTAACATCATTTTTTTGATTGAATTTCAAATTAACATTCAATTTCATCTAATCAATACCAAATTGTCACTCAATTTTATAAAATTAATTTAATTTTTTGAAATTAATATTTAGTTTTATCAAATTAATATTATTGTTTTAAAATTAACATTTTGTTTGATCCATCTTTTTATAGAAAACATTCTATTTAATCCAATTAGCATTTAATTTAATTAAATCAATACTAAAAAGATGTTTACTACTACTTTAAGCTTGTTTTATATGACCAAGGATAAATTTGAAAATTTATAAGAGAATAAACCATCACATCACACTTTTTTCACTTGTCAGTAACGACATTAGATGACAGAGATAGTTTATGAAACGTGCATATAAATTACAGAAATGTGCAGTGATATTTCAGAAATCAAAAAAGATGTCAGTGAAATATGACTTAAATCTAGGGGGTGTCAGTGAATTTTAACCTATAAAGATAAATTGTCCAATTACCTTCATTGTAAGAATTTTTATTTTAAGGTTCAAGCTATAAACTTTTTATTTTCAAAAATAAAAACTCATAAAATTGGGAAGGGAAATGTTGGTGTAAATTGCACATCATATTCCTTGAACCAAATTTATCCCATCATAGATCACTTTGAAACCTGCAAATTTAACTTTTCACTCTTATTACACAATACTTTCGTCAAAGCAAACAAATATTACTGGAAAATAACAAGAATCTGTAGGAATCATGCGGCTAACATGTACTCTTTTACTCGATACCAGGAATCTATTAATATCATGGTATTTGTAATAAGTTCAACTAATAATCAAATAAAAACAAACTAAATCAAGTATTATGTAGAAACAACAGAGATTTTTATGCATGCCACATGCGTGATAAAATTACGCACATCCTATTTTTTGGAATCTCATAGTAATAAAAAAAAAAAAAATCTCATGTAATATCCCGTCCCGTTCTTAAAATAAAACAACACTAATATGCACGTTTTCTTCTAAAGTGCATGCAAGTAGAAAACAGTTTTGCTTCTTGCTATCTCATACCCAATAGAGGGAGGAATGCAATGTAGGTATTGACATGTAGTCTCTCACCCTAACAAAACAGTCATGGAAATGCATTCTGAGAAACTTGGCCGGCAAAAACACCAAAAACAGCAACAAGTACTCAGACTAACAAGAAGAATATGGCCTTCATTTTCTGAAAAACCTTCGCTACATGAAGCTGTGAGAGAAGTGTCTGCAATTTATGCCCTGACATAACAGAGAAAATTGCTTGACATAAACTGCTAGAATTTATTTGTTAAAAATTGGAAACATTTTCCAAATCAAACAAAAGAACTTAGTACAATGAATACATTTCTTTCCATAAAAGCCGCCCAAGACACGAACACAGCTACATCAAGCACCAACACACACAACAAGATATTCCTGTTCCTGAAACCCAAGCAGATCAATTTATGACACTACACTTCTTTCTTATCTCCCCCAACTTCCCCGTGAGCACACCAATGGCTCCCATCTTCTTCATCGACTGTCCGAACTCTTTGAAAAAGGAGGTTGAAGTCACCAACTCATTGACGATCTTGCTCGCACCCTTGTTTGTTAGAAGAGCCGCATCAGATTGGAAGAGACCTTTCTTCTGATTGAGGGCGACGAAGTAATCAGCATCAAAATTTCGAGAACTCTTAGGGTCCATTTCGACAGTTGATGTATCGGCGAGGTTCTTGCACTTGGTTTTCAGGAACGCGGCATATGTTGGGTCCAGAGAAGGGTCTTGGTCTCCTTTTCCGGTGAAGTTGTAGAGCCTGTTGCTGAACAGATTGCAGTGGCCTAGTCCAATGGTGTGTCCACCTACATCATTCCATTGAGTCATTTTGTCAAACACTTGTCATGATTCATGACGAGTAGAGGATAGTTGGGCTTGTATCGAACTTAAAGAATGATGTCTATTTTAAGCATTTGAAGCGTTGGTGCAACCCATGAACTAATTTGTAAAGAAACATCAAGTGGAGGGGTCTTTTTTTTTTAAGTTTTTAATGAACACGCCACAAACAATTTTTTTACAATTATTTAACTTCGATATAACAGTAACACCATATCATCAATATCACGAAGTGTCACTAACCAGTGGTGAAATATCAAGTGAATTTAGTGGGCTCCATTGTTTTAATAACTATTTTTTTTTTGGTAAAAAAAATGGATATGCATGGGGTTCTACCGCACCTACATTGGGGCCGAAACTAAAGTCTCACTGCGTGCTCTGGGCATTGAAGAGTAGATTTAGCTCCAACGAGTTGCCATAGCTATGGAGACTCGAACTGAAGTATTGAGCGAGAAAATCCGCGTTCATCACCAATGAGCCAACAAAATTNAATTTATTGTGAATAAATTGAAATAAAATATATATAATGTTACTGGTAAAAATTTGAATTCTTAACGTATAATTCAAATAACTGTTAGAATTGATTTAAGTTTCATCCACGTACTTTGATATAATAGTACAAAATTTTTTGTNTTTTGTTATTTTATAATTAGTTGATGACACCATGTAACATTGATAGCGTGATATCACTGTTACGCTCAATATTTACTCAAATTCTGGTCCACAACAATAGAATAGGGAGAAAACACACATAAGATTTGTTGATGCAGTACTGGTGGTGAGATTTTTGGTATTTTATTGAACGTAGTCAATGTCGTTCTATTATGGAATTCTAGACAATTTNAATAATTTCACTAATTCACTGTTGACTCTTTCTTATCTTGGTTTACCTCTTTCTTATTTTTTCTTTGTTAACTTAAATTTTAAATTATTTAATTAATTAAATAAATAAATTATATACGATTTGATGATATATGTTTCACTACAATGAGCAGATGTAAGAAATCAATGAGTATTGAGTTACTTAGTCTAAGCTCCTAGGTTCTTAGGTTTTGGATCAAGGAAAGGGGTTTAACACACAGAAAATTTATAGTGGTTTATCAATTCAGGAGCTTAGCTAGTTCACTTTTAAGGGAATCTCTTCCTCCCAAGGGTTGTATTAATGAAGAAATGAGACTGCAAAGAGTGATTCTAATTACAATTGCTTATATTCATTATTGGGAGTGATGCCCCTTATTTATAGTCGATCCTGAGTCTTGCTTAACCTTTGATGAGATCTTTGTCCCTCTTTGTAACGGTTGCTATTATCTCGTGATGGTTATGGAGGGTATTGTGGCAGTCGCGGTTCTTCTGCCTAGATATGCGACCATTATTATCTAGGGTGGTGCTTGGGTGGAGTCTAGCCGTCTTCTACACTACCTTCCTTGAGATGTGGTTACAGGGATGAGAGATTTGACCTCGAGCTCCATGAGCATCCAAAACAATCTAGGCTCCCGATCTAAGAAAGCATGACCAGAATCACTGAGTTCATCCTTAAGCATTTTTAAGGTATCATCACTATCAATTCTCAATTTTTGATATTGTAAGGTGTCTTCAGACATGAAATTATTGTTAATATATTTATAAATTGATCGTAACTTATGCTTGAAAGCACGATGCAACATATAATCCGAAAGTCCAAAAAATCAATACCATTATAATCGATTAATAATTTTTATTTCCTTCCCTTTTTTTAACAAAATTTTCTCTAAATGCATGACCTAAAAAAACCAAAATGTGTATACCATCGTTTATGAAAAATGTCTGAAGTAAAAATTATTTGAGTCATAAATTAATAAAAAATTAAATAATTCAACTTGTAATAGAAATGAGTGATGTGATAGAAAGGATTGAAAAAATATATATGAGAATAAAATTCAAACTAAAAATATATACGAGAATAAGATTCAAACTTCTGACTCCCTTATTATATATATGATAATAAATATTGGCGTGGTACATAGTGGTACCCTAAAATTATTTTTAATAGTATTCTCTATTTTTGGAGAGCATTTTTTTTAAATAGAAATCATCGTTTATAAAATTTTAAAATAGACGGTGAATATTTTTGACAACTTCGACGGGCTCTCTAATATGCTTTTGGAGTGATTTTAGAGTGACATATATGGAGGGATTTTTGGAGTGATTTTAGACCTTTGCATCAATTTTCATAATTTAGTCCGAGTCATTATTTTGCTTTTATATATTTGAAATTCAAGTTTCTAGCTGACATATTTTTGAAGTGATTTTAGACTTTTGGATCAATTTTCTTGAATTAATATGAGTCATTGTGTACTTTTATAAGTTGAGAATTCAACTCTTATTTGTAATATTAGATAGGATAAATTTCAATTACTCCCTTGAATTTAATTCATATTTAACTAATACCCTCTCTGATTTATAAAATATCACTACATACTCCTGTCAATTTTTATCTGTTAACAGACTTAACAGAATATGTAATTTTATTAAATTATCTTTACTAGAACTCTCATTTTACTTAATTACCCTTACTCAAATTAATACAAAATTAATCTATAATTTTATCAAATTAACATCAAATTGAACTTTAATTTTGTTTGATTAATATTCAATTTTATTCAATTAATATTTAATTTTATCAAATTAATATTCAATTTCATCAAATAAGTTCAAATTAATATTAAATTTTGTCAAATTAACATTCAAATTCATCAAATTAGCATTCAATTCATCTAATTAATATTCAATTTTATTAAACTAATACCAAATTAGTATTCAATTTTATAAAATTAACATTCAATTTTATCAAAATCACATTAAACTTCATCAAATTAGATCAAATTAACACCAAATTAACTATCAATTTTATCAAATTAACATTAAATTTCATCAAATTAACACAAGATTTTACCAAATTAACATGAAATTGATCTTAAATTTGACAAAATTATCATTTTGCTTCAGCAAAGTAATATTCAATCTCATCAAATTGATATTCAGTTTTATAAAATTAATATCAAATCAATATTCAATTCTATCAAATAAACCCCAAATTAACATTTAATTTCATCAATATAACATTCAGTTTATCATACTAACATCATTTTTTTGATTGAATTTCAAATTAACATTCAATTTCATCTAATCAATACCAAATTGTCACTCAATTTTATAAAATTAATTTAATTTTTTGAAATTAATATTTAGTTTTATCAAATTAATATTATTGTTTTAAAATTAACATTTTGTTTGATCCATCTTTTTATAGAAAACATTCTATTTAATCCAATTAGCATTTAATTTAATTAAATCAATACTAAAAAGATGTTTACTACTACTTTAAGCTTGTTTTATATGACCAAGGATAAATTTGAAAATTTATAAGAGAATAAACCATCACATCACACTTTTTTCACTTGTCAGTAACGACATTAGATGACAGAGATAGTTTATGAAACGTGCATATAAATTACAGAAATGTGCAGTGATATTTCAGAAATCAAAAAAGATGTCAGTGAAATATGACTTAAATCTAGGGGGTGTCAGTGAATTTTAACCTATAAAGATAAATTGTCCAATTACCTTCATTGTAAGAATTTTTATTTTAAGGTTCAAGCTATAAACTTTTTATTTTCAAAAATAAAAACTCATAAAATTGGGAAGGGAAATGTTGGTGTAAATTGCACATCATATTCCTTGAACCAAATTTAACCCATCATAGATCACTTTGAAACCTGCAAATTTAACTTTTCACTCTTATTACACAATACTTTCGTCAAAGCAAACAAATATTACTGGAAAATAACAAGAATCTGTAGGAATCATGCGGCTAACATGTACTCTTTTACTCGATACCAGGAATCTATTAATATCATGGTATTTGTAATAAGTTCAACTAATAATCAAATAAAAACAAACTAAATCAAGTATTATGTAGAAACAACAGAGATTTTTATGCATGCCACATGCGTGATAAAATTACGCACATCCTATTTTTTGGAATCTCATAGTAATAAAAAAAAAAAAAA